TACCAGAGGAATTGCAGGTGCGTTGGCTGCTCTTTAGAAAGGAGTCACCTCTTTTCTTGAAGGTACTCTACGTACTACAAACGACCAAGCAAACTGTCTGGTTCAAATGCCTTTTTTATTGACAACAAAGGGGTGGGGAAGCATGTAGGCGGAGAGTTAAAGTAAAAGTTAAACCAATTTTTAAATTTCTCAGACGTGCATGTTCTTGCGATGTTTTCCTTCACCACGCTTTCAAGTGCTGATCTACTACTTAAAATTGCCACCAAAAACCAATTAGCTAAAGGGAATTGAACTTGGGTTATCGCGTATTAAATAAACAGGCGCTCGACTTCTGAGGTAATATGGCTCTATGGCTCGATGTAACAAATGCAATAGTAAACAATGACTCTATGGTTATTGTCAAATCATCACTGGCACACAATAGTAAACAATGACTCGATAAAAAAGCCTCGGCTTACGGACGGACAGCATTACCTAATTTAAACTTCTGTGTACAGGTGATTAAGTTTTTTTTTATAATCCATTAATTGTTATTTACGTTTGAAAATAAATCTTGTGAATCAGAAGCCCATTCAAATTCAAACGCGTGTAAGGCGAGCAGGCTTCACTCAGCAAGCGGATGGAGCGGCGGCGGGCGGGCGCGGACACTCGTAGACATGTCACATGTCCGCTGGATTAATTAAGTGCGGCCGGCGACCACAAAGGCAGCAACCGACCCAGCAAAAAACCGCCAACCCTCCCCCATGCCCCTTCTTCTCACCCGCTTTGCCTCTGCGTAAAACTTGCTGACCCTCAGATTCCTTCTATATGCTATTACTCGCCTAATTCCTACTTTTTGCCAACACGTCCTACTTTTCTCGGTACTGAAAAGTGCACCGCCGCTAACTCAGCGTCACGTCCGCCATAATTATTATAGGTTAGTTATTTCTTATTTAATTAACCCCATGTTGTAACCTATCTATTATAATATTTAAATAAAAATATACTCTAATAATTTTTTATCTTTCAATTAACGTACCCAGCGTATTTCACTAGTTTACAACATGAAACCTGAGACAGAATCAGAGTTTACAAGAGTTAAATCTGTATGTTACCTGTGTACTTATTATGTTATCGGGATGAGGAATATTTCATGTAATGTTCTGAGTCCAAGTATGATAGAACCGCAATGTGAATTTAATGTTTGTGAGTCCACACAATGGCAGCTTTATCGTGGAATATAAAAAAAAACGTTATTGAAATCGAAAAATAAATATTTTATTACTATCTACTATTACAGCCTATCCAGTCCACCGCTGAACATATGCCTCCACTATAGATTGCCTCATAGAACAGATGTTTGCCACAGTTGCCACGCTTGGCAAGCGGGTTAACAAACGCAGTTTTTTATTTGTAGTCTCTATTAGGAAGCTGTTGCCCGTCTCCTGACTTGTTCCACTGTCGCCTCTCACGGCACCCACGGGATGGTGTGGGGTAATGGGTTTTTTGTACCGTGTGTAGGTACTGCCACTACACGAAAAAAAATGACTGTACTCTAACTTATTATAGGACGACATTATCGTAAATGCATCGCGTCTTGGAATATAAACATTATACTTAGATTAGAATTAATCGATTTTTATACGTATTATGAATTATCATTATGAGTGACGTTTATTGAATGCAATTTATAAATTTCACCTTATTTGTTAAACAAAAAATTGAAAAGTTCTATAACTTACCCCAAAATGTGAATTTACTTCGCGCATTCCGTCCACAAAAAATGAGACCAATTACGGCAACACTAAACTATGAAGGAACATAATGATCTTTTATAACTACGCGAGCACTACACGTTTAAATAAAACTAATTTTTACGGATTTTATCGCGTATAATAACTTATTTTATATTCCCGAAGTTTCTATGGCAACTATGACATTAGCAAGTCGAACACCTCTGTCTCCCTCGTGACCATGGGTGCTGTAAAGTGCTGGAAACGTCGGGAATATAAAATAAGTTAATATACGCGATAAATTCCGTAAAAAACTAGTTTTATTGAAATACAAAGGAACATCTGTAAGTGTATTCAACTGTGTCTTCGAATTTTTGATGTTATAATTGACTACCGTACATTCCAATACGATCTATAGAAGTTAACAGAACATAAGCATCATCTAACATAGGCATCCCCATAGACTACCTTATTGGAGGGGGGTAGATTCCACGGCAATTGGCACGCTTGGCAGGCGGTTGGCAACTGGAGTTATTTATTATTTTGAGTTTTTATTAAGAAAATGCTGCCAACAATCGCCTGTTCCATTTCGCTGTGTCGCCTCTCACGACACCACCGGAATGGTATCAGGTAGCAGATATCCTTACAACACTACTACGTATTTACCACGACACAGTTAAACTGACCACAACGATGGTGTGTATTTAATGATAACTTAAAAGTTTCGGAAATTCTATAGCGTATTGACATCTTCAGGATCGTCCCAACCATCACATAGGATTAGACAACGAATCCTATCAAGGAACACCGATTCCTAACATGTATGATTCGCGAGGCTATTGAAAGATTAAAAAAAAAACATCCTAATTTTACACAATATGCTTGAGATTTTATAAACCCAAGCACACTACTGCAAGTAATCTCAGTACTGTAAGTAGTCTACTGAAGTCTTAAGATACCGGAAACTTGTTCTGCGTAGATCGGACCAAAAATTAATATACTATGACACCAGGACGACAAACACCTCGATTCCCCCGTGACCACGGGTGCTGAAAAGCACTCCAAACTTCAGGAAATAAAAATTAAGCGTGATAAAATCTATAAAATTAGTTTTATTTGAGAGTGTGTATGTGTGAATTTATAATGTATGTGTTATGAACCAAGCGATAAATCAGGACACTATTTATAACACCCGCGCATTACGAACAAACTTTATTATTTATTACACGATCTGATCACAACCTAACTTATCCTAATCTATGTTATTCTTACCCTGCCCGATACTCGTAAGTAACTCAATCTTATGGAACGATACGAAATAGAAACTTTTTAATTCAATATAGATTATAAATAATACTTATAACCAATACACCGCCTTAGGGACCTTCAAGAAACGAGCTTACTCTTTGTTTTTAAAGGGCCGCAGTGCACCTACATCCTAGTAATATATAAGTCAATGCCTCTACCCTGATGTTGCAGTTATTCATGGGCGACGGTCAACACATACCATCAAGTAAGCCGCAACCACACTTGCCCCCTCTTCTTTAAAAAAAAACTTTCTTTATACAGCCCGGTCAATTTAACTATTCTAATAGTATTCATCATATTTCCTATTCATATTGGGCATTGTGTAAACTGTGTGGACATTGTGAATAATGTCCTATCTTATAACGTATCGTCATCGTCATTGAATGTCATTTTTCACCCCCCACAAAAAGGGATGTTATGAAGTTTGTAGTGTGTATGTGTGTGTCTGCATGATGTGGCTTCATAGCTCCCCAACGGATGAACCGATGGTGATCGACTTTATTCGCCTGAAAGCTGTATTAAACGAGGGTGTTCATAGTTATGTTTAGAGAAAATCTGTTCATCCTCAATCTGTTTCGGGGGTTTTCAATAATTTTAATTTAATTATCCGTGTGTGTTAACGGGAACGCGTAACTCATTAGCGTGCGCGAGTTCTCCTCACTGATTACATTTTTTGCAACGCATTCCTTAAAAAAATTCTCATGGGAATAAATCTTTACATTCTTAGTTGTCAAAAATCCCGCAACAGCTTCCGCAGTCTTCTCTTATTTCAGCATTAAATGGATAGAACTTACGGAATTTTTATTACCTGGATTTAAAAAAAAAACTGTAGCGTAAAAATTTATCAGTAGTAGTAATATCTTGTGAAGATCCCGTGCTTCATCTTTGTGTGTATAAAATCGGATCGGTTTTTATAATTAGTACAACATATAAATAAAATAAAACTTGTGAAAGAATTACAAGTGCGCATCCAAATCACAAAAATGAAGCTGGAGCTTCACCAAGCGACAACAATCGCAAGTATAAATTCAATAATATCACGCACTTCTATCATACAACACTATGACGTGTGTCTGCTTGATTGATTTTTAAAAAGTTTTTGAAAGAAACTTAAAAAATAATTATTTTTTCGTATAAGAATCTTTTGGCCCTGAGCGTGCGCCTTACCTAAGTGTGGTATCGGTCCGAAAAAATTATTCGTGATGGCTGATTCCACTAGGAATTTGTGCGAGGAAGAAAACTTCTGGTAAACCGCTTGACCACTAATCATTCCGATCCAGATGGTGTGAACGCATCCACAGTTTAATTCTAAATCACTTACCACCGGGTGGACTGCGTGTTGTCTTGCCACCCTTATTCTATAAAATGAAACAAAATCAAGAGCAGCATTGCAAAACTGATTTGTGGTGTTGAAGCAATCATTTTAAACCAAACAACTAATGATAAGTAACCATTGTAATTAATTCAAAGCTAGAATGTCATCCTACTCGGATCTTAGAGACAGTAGCGTTGTGTAAACTGTCCTTGAGGCTTCTGTTGTCACCACCAGCTTGCACTGCCGTTCATCGCAAAATATAACTATCGACATGCGGGCTCTTATCCACTGTATCATTTTGTACATTAAGCGTACATTTCTCATTAAAAATCCGAGAGAGCAGCAAGTTTTTACCAATCACCATCCGACCGCCGCCAGGCGCACGGGCGTGAGTGTCGCCGCTAATTGGGCAGCTCATCACGTGCCATAAAACTTTATGGCAGTAATTGTTGAACAAAATTGCATTTAATTGCATTAATTGAATGCAGCCGGCAACGGTGTATGAGTGCGGGGCACAGTGGTTCATTCGCTCAAAGCCATCCTTGACAATGTCATGAGCCTCCGACTTAATAATAACTATTTTGTGTTTTTATTTTTGGCACTATCTATAATGTAATTCGAAAAGTCGTGGTATTGGGTAGGTATCTGTGAGAGTACAGAAGAAAATGAATTCATCCAACAACAATTTGTCCGCTCGCCGCACACAGGTTCGAGCAAGACATCAGCGTCACGTTAATGCCGTATGCAGAACAATAGACAAGCTGGCGGCGGTACAGTCGCCAGGCCTGGACCGTAGGCTGCTCTTAATAAGGCATCTTCGACAGCGAGCCGCCTCGCCCGCGCAACCTCCACCACGTGCTTGCGCCGTAAGAAACAAAGGGACACATTATAATGTCTCGCACCATAATATACGACCGCCGTTGTGTTGGGGCATTCGGTGCATTCGCGCTGCACGTCGAAATTCTTCAGCCTGCGTCCTAAAACCACGCTTATCGCGCAGACATAATATCGATAACGGCGTGCGGTTCGATGACATGTTTATCAGCACACGGCCGAGGGAGGGGGTGGCAGATGTCACCGCGCCGCCTGATAACACTTCCCCATATCTGGGATATCTGAATAGATAGCTTTCTAATTTTATTGGGCGAGCCCATAAACGTTTTTTGCGGTTCCAGGAACGCAGTCGGTCGCGGCGGCCGCATCTTGCTCGAGTCCTCGTGTCGGCAACCCATTACAAATTCCGTTTCGATTCCAATAGCGATATCTATTGATATATTCGTTTGTTTTTTGTCCCCGAGACAACGGTTATGAATAACTTACCCAAATAAATATTACCTAAATTCTTGTCTTTAATCGCGCCATTAATTTGGTTAGAGCATGTTCGTTAGTAAAATATCTAATTATTTACGTGGGATACGGTGTGGGGCTAGGCTTGCTCGTTCGTAACAGGAATGAGCGTGTTTAATATAAATTTATATTGACAGTTTACTCCGTGATTCATATATCGACGGTTGCTAGTTTTATAGTTACTCGGTTTTAAAATTATGTTAGCTGGTCGTACGATGTCCCGGTGTTCTTACTAACGTTTAGATAATCGCTTTTATTTCTCCTTCGGCGCAATAAAAAAAAACTTTAGAAACTTCGTTACTAATTCTTCCGTGTTTGTCATACAGTACCTGCATTAGTAGCTTAATACTGCTGTTTCGTATGGAGAGTTTAGAGAACCGGTTCTCCGACTGATATCTTTTCTTTGATTCTTAATCAGGGATAGATGTAGATGTCACTAGGCCAAAGCATCCACTTACCATCAGGTGGACTGTGTGCTCGTTTGTCGCCTTTATACCCTTATTCTATAAAAAAATACAAACGGCTACATAGAGACGGGCCTTATGTACTGTCTGATTAATTGTTACCATTACCTATATAAGCATTTTTTTATAGTTGTAACACTTATATTTAACATACGAACATATTTAAAAACAAACAGCTTAAACACTTGCACCTTACCTTGTTTTACAATTTAAAATATAAACCAGAGATAAATTAGTCAAAAGTCGGAAAGAAATGTATTGAACATAAAACTGGAAAAAAAGTTCCAAAGTGAGAAAGGAAACGAAAGCTATAGATATCCTAACTCACGCACTAAAACAAAAATGGGCAGGTCATCTGCATATAGGTTATAGATTAATATAGAGGAAAGATAGAATAAAATTGTTATGGAATGGAAATGTACTGAAGGAATAAATACTACATTAAAATTATTGGAACTCTGGTTAGTTAATTAATAGAAACTGCATATAAAAACTGGATGAAGAAAGTGATGGATAGCTCTGGAAATCCTGGAAAGCTCTGGAGAAGGTTTACACCTTAACAAGGGTCCTCAATGAATAAATAGTAAAAACTGAAACATTATAGTAATTAAATACAGTTACAACACGGTAAATCAAATTTTGAAAGAGCTATTAACAATTTCTTTGGGTTCGGCAAGGATTATAGAAGCTCGGCAGTAAACATACTTCCTACTTTCCTACTTTTTTTTATAGAATAGGGTGACAAACGAGCACACAGTCCACCTGATGGTAAGTGGTTGCTGCGGCCCATAGACATCTATATCTATCCTCGATTACGAATCAAAATGCAGATGCTTTGTCACCCGTGAGGATTAAGATGGAATGCCTCGTTTCCAGTAAAAAGGGTCTCCGGTTCTCTACATTCACCATACGAAACACAGCAGCTTTGTGCTACTCTTTCACGCTGGTATTCTGTGAGAACGTGGTCCTTCCCCAGTTGAGCTGACCCATTCGTGCTACAACTATACTACTAATATATTTGCGGCATGGCTCTACCACGTATAAAAACGTTCTCTACTTTTCAAAAGTTTATGAAAAATATTGTATTAAATCTACAGTTCAAACCGCTGAATGTAGATGCGTGAATGTTTTTTACGGGGTGATTTCATATTGGTATAGGCAAAAATTATAAAATGATTATTGTAACTATAAAATTAGTACGAATAATTTAGGATTATGTGGATTAAAATAATGCAATTAGTTTTTATTTTTTTATTTTCCTAATAGCTCACCTCCTAAAGTATTAAAACCAGGATACATGGTTTGCGAGGAAAAAATGGTTTTTAATTGCATGGTGGTGGGGAAATCCGTTAAACGAAATTGTGATAATTTTTACAAAAATCTTCCCTTAGTGATCATTATATACTAAATATTAAAAATTGTCTATTTATTATTGCCTCCGAGTTAGAAATCCGACAAAAATATAGTGAGATCAGATACAGATAAAGCGGCTTTACTGCTTTCTGAGGCATAGAGATGAAACACTGTTGAACTCTTGACTCCAGGCTGCTACTGAGAATTTCTTGATAGAAAACCCAACTGATTTTAAGCCCGATAACACCTATTACTTAGAGGTGACAAAACTTTCGTAGGTTGAGCTTAGTTTTATTTTTCAATTGTTTTCAGGATGAGACAAAGTATAGATGCTTAAGCAATTTCATTTATTTTGTTAGTGTAGGTACTTAGTTTTAGGTAGGCATTGGATTGTAGTTTTCATTTCGATTTTTTATACAATATCAATAATTAGTGACGGTGTCTGCTTATTTAGGGCAATATCTTATTTACCAAGCATTGGCTGGAGAAATTCGGGAGCAAATTAGGGATTACGTTATTGCAGTTATTTTGTTGTCTATTTACAAAATAAATCTCAAGCGTACAGCTTGGCTATTCGGTTCTTGGTTCGTTTGTGGGTCCGCTTATTTGTTCGTTCGTTTGTTTGTTTGTCTGATTGAACGACTAACTGTATGTTTTTATTCAGATTAGTGTCTTTCTAAGTCTTCGCGACAATTTAATTTACAAATAAATCATCATCACTTAGAATATCAAAAGTAGTGATTCCACACGAACGATGTCGCGGGTAGGTACAGCTAGTATATAGTAATCTTAGATCACGACTATTGTAACTGTGATTGTCCGATAATCAACAGCTGTAGAGTGAACTGTACTCGGAATCTATGAAGGATGAAAACGAATTCATTATGATGAAGAACTAAATCTATTGAAAACTGCTTTTCTGAACAACTATATACAAAATATATTTGTGACATTTTAACCTATGGAGAAGCTGACGACGATAATCAAACAGTTACTTTTTATAATCAAGTAACAAAACGTAAAAAGTACAACGCTGTCTACCGTTTCGAAATATTTAAAACGAATTAAAATTTTATTAGAGGTATACCAAACCTACAAAATAAGTTATTACGGAGAAAGGAGCCTCAATAAATAAACACATTGCCACTGCACGTCGAGTATCCTCTCCTGTCAATGAAAATTAAAATTTAATAAAATATCGAGACAAGTTTTTTGGCTGGTGTTTGTCCCCAGGCGCCACCTGCGGGTCATAGTTCCCGCACGGCAGGCACGGAACTAAATTACGTCTTTATCATAGTCGTCATCGTCGCCCGGGATTTATGTCTGCGCGGGAGGCGGCGCCCGGGCCGCGGCTAAGTAATGAACCCGCCCGGTGATTAATCGGCCGGTGATGCTATCGGACGGAGCCCCTGCCCGCCTGATTAATTTAAATGAGTCGCTGCTGCAGTGGGCCTGCGTGCCTCAAGTTCTGTCTGAGCAGCAAACACTAAACCTATCGGTGCAGACGCTGGCATATATTTCCCCAGGAAAACGTTCTTTTGTCGTAAGCGTTCGCAGCAGGAGCAGCCATTGACAAAGTGACAAACGAGTCAAGGTAATTTGAAATGATTTTGTATTCATTGTCTAAAATTAAGAAGTTTCAATAATTTTTAAAGTTTAAAGGGGAATAGGAAATATTAAAATTACAAGTAAAAAACTGCTTGTTTCTGCCATTTCTCGAACTAGTCCTCTTGTTCAACCCTCGGATGAGGCGATATACTTTCTGTCAACTGTCACACAGATTGATTTAAAGATTTATGTAAAACTACAAACATTTGTTAAGTCTTCGAGTATCAGTGCTCTACTGCTGTCCAACCTGATGGTGAGTGGTGATCTAATTGAAGAGGACACATGTAGGTACCGACTTCCATGACAAAAGGTTGTTCTCTCTTGCGTAGTAAAAATCCACATGGTTATTAGATGGAAGTGAAGGTCAATCGAAACTTTTACAGATCAGCGGCAGCTCCTGGACTACGTAGCTGGTCAAGCGCTCGCCATAAAGTTCACAGTACGTGAGCAACTCGCGTTCGATCCTCGCCGCCACCAATACAGTTGTTAATTGCAATTTCAAGTAATGATTTGCCACGTAGTCGCCGGTTAAAGGGAACAAAGAAACGTAAAAAATATTACGAAGGCATGAAATGTCCACCAGCACGCATTGGGGCAGCGCGGCGGACTAAAACCCTCTCAGAAATCGATAGAGGCTTGTGGCCAACTGTATAATGAACTTAGGCTGTAACATTTTTATACAGGAGAGGAGGCAAACGAGCATATAGCTCACCTAATGGCGTTTATTTTAACTTGAAAACTATTTTATGCTAATAGGTGTTGGGATCTTAAGAAAAAGGTGCAGTGACAAAATGGTACAGTGGTGAAACGCAACGACGTGTCGGTACAGCAGCGGTGACATGGCGGTCTCGGGTTGGGTTTCATTGCGCCGTACTATTGACTTGCTGATATCGATCAGGGCGCGACGCACAGTGATGCTGCGCATACGCCGCCGCAATATTCTTGATCCCCCTAAACTTGTTTTGCTCACATAATACCTTTTAAAGAATAGTAAAATTAGTTTTGATTAATATTTCAGAATACAAAAAAATAAACTTAGTATAGTACCAAATAGTGAGATAGTCAAATAATTAATAAATAAAGTAATTTTTTCCAAATAATGAAAACCGACTTCAAAACTTTGCCCACACACACAAAAATAATATTTTTGGTTGCAAAAAAAAATTAAAAACATATATAAGGAAAATCACAATTACTGTTATTTAATTATTTATAAAACCTAACCAGTAGGTTTAGGAGTTGGTGACGGCCCAGGTGTGAAAAAAATACATTTACGAAATACCCATCTAAATAACTTCACATATAAACAGGACGAAATGAAATATACATACATAAGTATAGTTTGCTTATGTTTA